AAAAAAAAAAAAAAAAAAAAAAAAAAAAAAAAAGAGTTAGCAACTAACCACAAAAAAAAAAAAGGAAGGAAGGAAGGAAGAAAGGAAGGAAGACAATAGAAAAGAAAAGAAAAGAAAAGAAAAGAAAGGGAAAAAAAGAAAAACAAAGACAAAAATTAATGAAAGAATTAGTCAAATAAAACATGCCTTTAGGCCACATTGAGCCTGAGACCATCTCACTGGAAGCAAAGGTACAGGATGTCTGAGTGGCGTCTCCTGTAGAATTCTGGGACAACAATAGTTGCTTCTGCCCTGGAAAGAATGTAACTCTTGGTCCAACACTATCACTGTGAAGAAAATCTACCCTTTCTGCTCTGACACTTCAAAAACACCTCCCTCCCGGCTGACCACCGAGGAGTGCTGTGCCTAGTTTCAGATCCCAAGGTTCTGTCAGAGACTGTGCTTAATGTCTGACTCTTTTCTTAAGAAGCTATGCTGTAGATCTTTTTATAGTCATTGTTTAAATTAATTTCAAGAGAGCGCCTCAAGTCAAAAAGACTTCCGCTATTTTATTTTTGTTGTTCAGAAAACATTCTGAAGACTTTTGGCACTGCATTTCAATTTTCCCATCCTCTCATAACTCACCTGTCCTGGAGCACTGAAGCCAGGAACCTTTTCTATTGAGGAAACCTACAGTGTCTCATTCTGCAGGGTAGAAACAAGCCTTTCTACCCTGTGGATAGTTCCAGAAGAACAGAAATATCCCTAAAGGGTTGTCACAAAGCTCTCTTTTGCAATAGGAACTTAATCCCACACAACAACTACCCAGTTTTAATAATACTGGAATTCTTCCATTGTCTTTTATCCCAATAAAACCCAGGGCCTTGTACGGAAAGTGCTCTACTACTGAACTAAAATAAACCCTAGCCCTAGCTTCATTCCTTCACTTTTACGTATTTATTTAAAATTTAAGAACCCCAAACTTCATGAAGATTTATCAGTAAACCTTATGTAAAAGCCAAAGTCAACCTGTGAGCCCCACCTGCCCAAAGACCAGGTAACTTCCTGGAATGCTGGGAGTTGTAGTTCTTAGAAAATGACAAAGCCGCATGAGAGATGATGGTGACTGTGTGATTTTGTCCTTAGAAAGCTCCTACGACACACATCTTGTTGACACTCACTTGGAACCCAGGGGTGGACCTGATCAGAGTTCATTTTTCTAGTCAGTACTTAATGAAAGCTTACTTCAAATTTGGCTCAGAATTGTGGAACTGGTTTTTCTTTCATGAATCTCAGGATTAGCACTTACCTATGTGTTATAACTTTAGCCCTAATGAGATTTTTTTTACTAAGACCAGATTTTGAAATATCGGAAGAGGAAACAAAGCTATCTTGATGGTGGGAGATGCAAAAATTATGATAAATAATGATGGGAAATAAAAAGTAAAACCAAAAAGGTGAAAGCAAAAAGATAAACCTCTGGTCTAGTCCCTCTCCAGTTTCAAAGAAAAAATGCTCACACTGGCAGATGCCATTGGGACTGCAAGGATGCTCACACTGGCGGATACCATTGGGGACTGCAAGGATGCTCACACTGGCGGATGCCATTGGGGACTGCAAGGATGCTCACACTGGCGGATGCCATTGGGGACTGCAAGGATGCCCACACTGGCGGATGCCATTGGGGACTACAAGGATGCCCACACTGGCGGATGCCATTGGGGACTGCGGTGATCTGCTTACCAGGTGAAGGAATCCTGCAGCTGTGAACCAGGTACTGAGAACTATTGACATGAGTTTGGAAAGCTTCACTGAATTACTAAAAGGGCAAAGACAAAGAACTGTTAGGTCTCTGCAGGCAGGTTCTCAATCAGCACCAACACATTGTTCTTCAAAAGCCCAGCTTTCTGCTCACAGCGTGGCCCACAGACTGGAAGGTACAGCAGCACCTGGGGCTCTGCCCTCACCTGTCAGTCTGCACGGTCACAGGGTCTCTGTATCATTCATGTATGCATTAAGAGTCTAAGAGCCTGGGCTGGAGAGGTGGCTCAGAGGTTAAGAGCACTGTCGGCTCTTCCAGAGGTCCTGAGTTCAATTCCCAGCAATCACATGGTGGCTCACAACCATCCGTAATGAGATCTGGTGCCCCCTTCTGGCATATGGCAAACTTGCAGAAAGAACACTGTTTACATAATAAATAAAATAAATCTTAAAAAAAGAAGAGTCTAAGAAACACTGCTGGAAACACATCCAGTGTTATGCATTTCTTCAAATGTTATAGATTTTACTGTTTTCGTCCATCAGTCTGGTGTTTTAAAGGCACACATGGGATCAGTACTCAGCAAATGTATAAGGTTACAGGAACAAAAAGGCAGCAGTCCAGGCATGGACCTGTAATCTAGATTACAGGAATGTAGGGACACACGCTGGACTCAGACCAGGAACGTTGAGGAAAAAGTACCCGAGAGGCTTAAGTCTGTCACGGAGAGCCTAGAGTTCAGCTGAAACAGCTGCAGTTCCGGGCCTGGCCATCTGTCATGTAAAAACAGTCTTTCCAGCCTTGACTTCCTCACGATGCATACTTAACCCTGAGATGCACTTCAGACCACAATACTGAGATTTCTCATAAGAATGTAGCAGCGTGGTGAAAGAGATAGTCTGGACCTTTATTATTGTCTTTTGGAGATATTTAGGTTGCACTATATTTACCTGTGATGCTGGGGTTTGAACCCAGGACCTTGTAGATGCTAGGTAAATACTCCCCCATTAAGCCACACCCTAAGTTCATGGCTCTGCTTCTCTAAGCAATAGTTCACTGCTGCTGATGGGTATCGCCCATGCTCAGGGGAGCTGTTACACCTCTAAACCTGAAGAAGTGTTTCTTACTGTAGTAGCCAACAAGAGGTGATTGTTGATAATTGATTACATCTGTTCTTTCATAATTGTACACATGCATAAAATGCATTCTGATTACTGTCTCCTGCAACCCTCACTTATCATCCTGACAATCCCCACCCTACCAGTCCTTTACCCAGATTCGCTGACTCTTGATTGTGCCTTGTAACCCACTTAATTTAAGCAGGGCCATCTTCTGAACAGTGGATTGGAACCATCCATTGGAACCTAGTGAAGTCACCACTGGGTACACAACTGATTCCTCAGCTCTGAATTTATCAGTACACAACAGTTCATCAGTGAGGGGTAGTGCCCTCTGAGCTCCTCACTCCAGCTATGCCTGATTGGCAATGGGCGCGTTCTTGTGCAGACCAAAGGCAGACATCCATGGCTACTGTGAGATCACAAATACAATGGCTGTGTGTTGTATTTTCTTTCTTTCACTCTAGCCCCATGTTGGGTGCCAAGATGTTGTTGGCTGTTTTTCACTCTTTGGTTCTTTGGCTCTTTGGGGGCCCGCCACCTAGTTTCCAAATAAATCACACATGGAGGTGTATTCTTAGTTATAAATGCCCAGCCTTGGCTTGGCTTGTTTCTTGCCAGCTTTTCTTAACTTTAAATTATCCCATCTACCTTTTTGCCTCTAGGCTTTTTCCTTTTTTCACTTGTGTATATCTTACTTTCACTCTTACTCCATGGCTGGCTGGCTCTAGCCCCTAACATCCTCCTCTCCTTGTTCTCTTGCTCTTTCTTCTCTTCCTCACAGATTTCTCCTTCTATTAATTCTTCCTGCCTGCCAGCCCCACCTATCCTTTCTCTTGCCTCACTATTGGCCGTTCAGCTCTTTATTAGATCATCAGGTGTTTTAGACAGGCAACGTAACACAGCTTCACAGAATTAAACAAATACAACATAAAAGAATGCAACATATCTTTGCGTCATTAAAAAATTGTTGCACAGCATAAACAAATGTAACACATCTGAAAATAATATTCCACACCAGCTGTGTCTTGCTCAGAGGTGGCATTTTGCAGCCTTTTTCTCCCGATCTTCTGGCTCTTACACTCATGCTTTCTGCCTCCACTTCTGCAACATTCCCTGAACCTTAGAGGGGATGGAATACGTGTCTGGTATTCGAGTAGGGCTGAGTACTCATGTGTCACTTCTTATCAGCACTTGGTACAGCCCTGAATCTCTGCACTCAACACTGATCACTAGAAAAAAATGGCATCTCTGATTAAGGCTGGAAGTAGCGTTTGCCTATGGGTATGAATGTAATTATTTAGAAGGCAGTTTCACAGTATGAAATATAGCTAATAGTAGTATTCCATCCATGTGCCCTTTGCCCCTATGATATCCCCTAGCATGGGTTTGAACTGGGGTCACAGAACCAGACATGGATTTCCCCCCACAGAGCAGGTCTCAAACCCACGCAGAGAGCTTGGATCCCACGACAGCAGTGCCGTTGCTGCACAGTGGGCACATCGTGTCTGGCAAGTTGATCTTATAGCTGTAGGGTTCACAACTGTGTCAGACCATCGACGCCTTTTCTACCCCAGCAGCTTGCTCAGCATCTTCCTGGGAGGACTATAAAGGCTGGCCAGTGGGGAGGACACTTTCAGCTTAGCTCCAGGTTGATTCCTCTACATTATACAACTAAGATGTGTGGTGTCTTCAGCACCTGGACCTTATCATCTACTCCTTGTGGGAAATCAGGAGGCTGCATTGTTTGGGGGCCTGTGGTCCTGACCAGGAACTCCATGGGAGGAATCCCCCTCTGGCACTGTCTGTTTAACAATCCCCAGCTTCTAGAACAGCTTTCTCCAGCCACACAGAGAGAGGGGATTCTTAATAACACATGCATGAGACCCAAACCTCTGTGTTGGCTGACTATTTTTGTTTTGGGGAGAGAGACCTGGAATGAAAATCAAAGCAGATCGACTTCCGGTAATTTTTCGAAACAAGGAACGGGCCATCTCTTTACAAGGACTGCCAAGTTTCCAGCCAGGGTGCTACATGCTACATGGAGGCAGTGAGTGGGGGAGTGAGCACACAGATGCTGAGGGACGTCCCAGTTTTCACACTGGAATTCTGCTGGGACACGGGGAGCTTGCGGACCAGTACATGTTTTCATTTCCCAACCCAAACTGCCGAGCTGGCTCGCCAGGCTGGGCTGCACTTACCTGGACTTGATGACATGGAGGATCTGTAAGATTTTCGGGAGTTCGAGCAGCCGCAGAGCTCTTAGAAATCTGAAACCTACAAAGCAACCGGAAGAGAGCAGCCTGAAATACACTGTGATTGGGATGTGCATGCACTCACCTTCCCTGAAACTCTTTTTTTTTTTTTTTTTTTTTTTTT